CATGCCATAACGATAGCGCGATGCACCTAACCCACTTTCGAGAAAGAATTGCGCATCGCGCCGCCACACGGCGTAGAGCCAAAATCCGGGAAGTTTAACCGCCGTCGCCAACTCCAGTTATATCAGTTTTGCTTTCCGAGTCCTTCCTGTTCCTGCGATAATAAAAGTACGCAGGTCGATTACTGCAGATTCAAGAAGGCAATCACGAGTCCTCGTCGTTATCGTTATAACAAGGCAATATCGCTTTGAGTTCTGTGAGGTAGATGGCGCTAGTGTAGCACTACAATTCTCTATAGTATAACTCAGCCTCATTAACTCCTGCCCCCCCAAACCTATTTCTGTCTCTGTTCCTCTCGTGCAATTTATATACGCAAACTCAGTCGATAAATCCAGGCATTCATGATGCTGAGTGTAGATACGGAATCGTACGAGAACTTATTGCCGGATCATAAAAGTAACTCTTTTTCGCCTCATCTTTTTCTTTTGTTATTTCTCTCGTACGGTCTTGCCAATACGAGCATGCTAACTGACGCTCACTTTCCTTTCGATAATTGCGCCAGCGTAGTGGTTTCCGCTATGCGCCATTAACTGCACTGACTCTGCCGGTGGTGGTCGCGTATAGCGTGCACGTATATATACAGACATACTGGATATTGGTATTTACTGAAATTCCTTCGGTGAAATATTTTTCGAAAACACTCACACTCAGTTGACACTGAACTGGTCGCGAGACTGTTACGCCGAGTGAAAGAGAAAGGTGCCGGTAGTAGGGGGAGGAGGCGGTAGTGGCGGTGGCAGCAGCGAGCGGAGCTGAAAGAGAAATGTTCGGGACGGAAACGACGTCGTTAGAGACGTCGACGGGCCCTACCGCATTACGGATGCATTTATGTGCATTCTTCGGTTGGGCCGTGCAGCGAGAAACTGTGGTGGGTAGGGGAGAGGGAGGGGCGAGGGGAGGAGGTAGTGGTGCGCTTCTTTATTCTCTCTCTCTCTCTCTCTCTCTCTCTCTCTCTCTCTCTCTCTAGTTAATTAAAATTGAAAATTACGCTGGGCAAACGTCGCCGACACCTGCGCAAATCTACATACCAGATCGACTGCCACGTATATATACTGTATTCGTGTACTAATGTATACATATGAAACCGCTGTGCCGCTGCTCTTTTCTCTCTCTCTCTCTCTCTCTCTCTCTCTCTTTCTTGCAGTTGCGACGTGACACGGTGCAATTCTCGAACCTTTCACGACGCCATCGTAAATGCACCGTGGGCAGTCGTTTTATAGGAGCGAACTCTTCGGGAGGCTAGTAGCTTGATACTCCACGTCGCCCACTTCGATTTCTATCAATAGACTCTTTCGTCAGGTCGTCGTCTGACGTCGTCGACACGTTTCTTGTATACTTGTGCAATGCACCGGGTAATGCAGTAAGTGAGATCCACTTGTGCACCTGGGTGATGACTGGAGAAGTTGACGCGTCCTTAAATAAGCATTTCCTCATTGAGTAAACGAATGGGACACCATTCACTGGGCCATCCGGAATAAGTAGGTGCACTGTATACATTTCGTCACAGTCGTAGTTTACAGTATCGAACGATGATATCGATCAGCGTCAATCTCAATACATCTGGTATAGTATATTAAGCTAGGCGATTTTTCCATTGGTGCCTGGATATACAATTGCTGCACGTGTTATAATGCCTACGTACCACGCGATCGCCCACGTGTTCGTCGCTTGCCACTTGGAAAAAGTGATCAATCGGCTCATAAGTGCACTGCGATGCACCGTGTGCACATTCAGTCGAGAAGTACGTCTAAGAGCTTTACGGAGTCTAATAACACGCGTCGTTCGGTGCATAGAGGACTGCATATGCAATTTCTTTTTTTTTTTTCTAATAACTTCAAACGCATCCTACTTGCCTGCACCACTTTATCGTCTGTATGCACTCTAGATGCAGTTTACAAAACGTAAGGTACCCACGCTCGTATCCGGGTCCCGGCGAGAGCGGCTTTATCGTCATGCATCCAGAAAATTGCATAGATGCGTCATGAGGTATTGCGTGCATCCAAGAGGTCACTGAACTTCCGATTACCTGCATACCACCTGTAGGGGGGTCATGCACCGCGTCGATGACGAGACTGATGGAGCCATGTGCTCTCGAAACTGAGGCAGTTTCTCCTCAATGGCAATTACGATATGGGGTCGTTATACGGGGTGTCCAGTTTCGCAGTCCTCTCCACTCCTGGGATTGGCTACATTGGCTGCTTGCCCAATAGAGGTTGCATCATCTGGTGATGACACGTGGGCTGTGGTCAGTATGTAGTTGACATGTGCGAACCGCGAGTAGTACCCTTTTTGCCTTGACAATGATCGTAGAGTCGTTGAACCCTTAAAGACTACAGTGAAAACAGCTCCGGCTGTTACGTTTCATTCTTTTGGGCTTTCGACCACGACTGCTAGACGTTATGGGGGCCCGATGGAATCCCTCGCAGGTTGGTACAATTCCAATTATAAGTCCGTGATGGATTCTTGAGCGCTTTCCTTATATCTCCTTTGTACTCCATTTTGGCAGTTTTGAGGATTCAAACGTGGAAAACGTTAGGAGCATCGTCTGTTAGTACGGATGCCCTATGACCCCATTAAGAATGAACCCACCCTTTCGGGCTTCTCTATCTACCCATCTCTGACACGGGGCTTGCGCCTGTCCGTTTAACGATCCGCGGCCATCTTGAACGCACGGCGTCGGCGTCGACGTAGGCGTCGCTCGTCACGTCACCCTGTGATGTTGCGGCTTATTGGGAAACTGCAAAGCCACCCTCGTTCCTATCGACTCTCACAGATGGCGATGCTGGTCCATCTTCTATTTTCTGCATTGCTCGTCAATTTGTAAAATTCATTTCCACGATATCCAAATTCGAAGCGTGATACAATTTTGGCTAAACACCAATGATTATCATCATCATTCAATCAGATAAGATTCATCATTTAATCAGATGAGATAATCATTTTCAAAACAATCATTACGATCATCGACCGATTTATCCGGAAAAGATCAGTACCGTTTCGGTCATCATTAACTACGGCGTACGTCACGAAAAGCCATGCTCGAATTACGGTAACTGGTACTGTCATCGAGAACTTACTAACGTCATCGTCCAAGTCTTTGGGTCTGCGATCTACCCCGTTCGCAGCACGTGGATGAAAGTGACGAGGAAGCCCGTAACGATAAAACCCATAAGACGACTTAGTAGAAGCGAACGAGGGTGAAACGTTATGAACTATCCCCTCGTGTTTATCGATCTAATTGTCGGAGGTCTTAATTGCGGGGGATGGAGAGGATGACCTTGAGAGCTCGCAGCTTGCCGGGACTTCCGTGTGAGAAGGTAATTACGTGGCACGACCTACCGCAACAAGATTCTCGCCGGGGCAGCGAACTTCTTGCCATCGCGACGACGCTAACGAATTCCGCGGAGCATCTCGTGCTGTGCGGAAAACTCGGATTATATCGAGTTACCCTTAGTCCGCGTTTCATTCCGTGGAGGGGTGGCTGGAGTGAAACGGAGAGAGGGGATGGAAAGAGAGAGGGGCAATGAATAAAGATAGGGTGAGAAACAGAGGCAGTGGTAACACGAGTGAGAGAGAGAGAGAGAGAGAGAGAGAGAGAGAGAGAGAGAGAGAGTAAAAGGTGCAATAAGGCCCAAATAAAAAGACTGTAGATGGCAGCAGTAGTCGCAAGGAGGCTTCGTACGTTTTATTTGCAGCAATTGGATTTATTCCCTTCGAAGTCCCACGGGGGCGGTTTCAGACGACGGCAGACCGCCAGGACCACTAACGTGCTTTTCCTACCACCACGCCCTTTCGCTGTCCGTACTCGAATTTAATTTCGGGAAGATTCTTCCGGGAACTCCTAGGAAGCAACCCTTCAACGACCTCACGCTTTCTCACGCTCTCATCTGCATACTTCAAATGGGGCACCTTTTTGGCATAGCCGGATGGGCCCGCTAAGGCCGGAAAGCCAAAGTGTCCCGGTCCCCACTTTGCATGCCGTAACCAGGACCCCCCGCCACCCGTTTTTCTTTTACAGCCACGCAGCGGGACGTCGCGAGCGTGGAAAAAAAGTACGGTCCTTTTACACGTTAATTCGATCGATACGGGGTGAGAGGGGTTGGCTAGTAAAAGAGCGGAAAGATATCTGTCCGTCGAGACAAGAGGAGGTCAGAGGTCGTCGATATCGCAAAGGTGTCAGGAATTCAATTTGTGCATTTTGTGTAATCGCTATGGTGGTCGGATGATGTTTTTATAAGATGCAATGCATGTAATGGTCCATCAGTTAGATTTTTAAGGTTGCCGTATTGTCCGAGCGATGAATACGGAATTTGCATCGCGAAAGGGGGAATGCATAATCCATAGAGTCAAGAGGATTTCTTCAAACCAACTTCCTGAAGTCTCTCCGTCGTATCCGTGACTTAACTGCACTTTGTATTACGCTCTGGGGTGGGCTGGATACAAGCGTTAATAATTCAAGTATGACCCTGACCCGGCCGCCCGGTGACCTGAAGCCGCCGATTACAATCACAATGGCCAGCCGAGTTCTCAGGGTAAGACAGGTAGCCGCATTTATTAAAGACCGATCGGGACTCGACCGTCCTCGGCTACGCTCGGGTCCCGTCGTCTTACCCAAGGCGTGTGACGTGAATTCCGAATTCCCACTTACACTAGCTACTAACCTAACCCCATTAGCATAGCGGATTCTGACCCCATCCACTACACAGGACCTTACTTCATCTCCATAATATGTGTACCGGTTATAGGATCTTCTGCTCGAGCTTTCATGAGAATTTCACAAGCCGAGTGTATTATGGGATACTTCATAAATTACGCAACGCGTATATGCATATTGGAATTTGTGAATCGTCAGCTGCTGATCTGAGATCTTTATTCTTTTTTTTTTTTCTTGTACTCTTTTTAATCCTATTTCTATTGGAATTTAGATTGAACGCCTACGTACCTCCGGATCGGTTGACTGTGGTCTCTTAAAGGAGTACAGTTGCGACAGTCGCTCATAGAGATTTGCCCTTTCGTGGAGGCTCTTGAAAGGATTTTTCGTGCTGAAGAAGTCAAGGTCCACGTCGAGGATATAGGGAGTATTTGTCTCAGGTAGATACTGACGCAGCGCAGAAGAAATGGCGACGAAATCGTCCTTCTGAAACAGAACGGACAAACGGGGTATATACTAAACGAATCACGGATGATGAATTTTTTGAAAAAAGAAAAAAAAAACGAAAAAAAAAACCCAGTCGCTCGGCATCCTATTTGTTCACAGTGAACGTCAAACGTTCGATCAGAGTGGACCTAACGAACAGTGACGCATGCACGTTTTCATTTCATTTAAATTCGTACTCTCCCGCGGTCTTGGAACCCTTTCACCGATCCTCGAATATATTGTCCCAAACAGTTCTGAACAATCCGAACAGCGGGCTTCCCACGTGGTTTTTGTGACGCGCAAAAAACAATGACTGCGCCTGAATTAATCCCGTTGGAATTGATACTCGCTCGCACCCCGCTCAAGCTGGGGATCACAATTTGCATGCATTCACAACAATGCAATAGTACGGGGCGACGTGCCGATCGGGATAGGGAAATAATAAAAACAGAGGAAACAAAAAAAAAAGATGAAAAACGATCGCTCGAGCGCTACGTACAGTGACGCTCAACATGGAAACTCGTTGTACCGTATCGAACCATTTTTCAAAATTACGAAACTACTCTGCTCGTGTTATTGATAAACATTTCCCCTTTCTATCCAGTTCCTTTATTGGACGTATCTTCTTTCTCATTCGTCCAATTTCTAGTCGCCGAACAAACGAGCCACCACACGTGGTCGCCGTACTGGCATTCCTGGACAAAAGATACCGGAAGACATCCCGCGGTATATCCAAGGAACAATGGGAGCCCCAAAAATATGTTCTGCTCCTATACATTTCGTAATAACTTCACGCTGGTTGGATCAACTTTCATTATAATTCGGTACTTGGATGCAGCCTCCTGATAAAATCACAGATCCGTATACAGGTATACATATAGATATACCAGATTAATATATTAATAAATTTAACGCGAGGATCATCGGAATCAGTAAAGTCAGCGTTAAGAGAGACAGACGATCGGTTACGTATAACTGAATGTACCTTACGCGGACAAGCGAAATGAATCCGTTTCGAAAGTAATCGTTTAATCAAAATTGCAATCGATGCGTTACGTGCGCATGCGCACTGGTAGTTTCTCGTCGATCACACCACCAATCGCAAATTAAACATCTACCAGCGTCGTTATGCAAATTGGTGCATTGTCTTGACCCAAAGCCAAAGTGGCATGATGTCGGGCTCATTGTTTTCCTCCCTACCATTGTAATCAACAACACATCGAATTCTTCGAGCACCCTGCCCCTGCCCATTGCCCCCCGTTACTACACGTGAAACAATAGTAGGAGCTGTAAAAATGACGTGTTTCCTAAAAACCCTTATGTTGCTGCAACGAAATGAACTATTTCAAAGGTTAAGGGTGCAGTTCGCACCGAGTGACGTATTATAGGTAAAAGTCGTAGAGAATGCAAAAGCTGCGTTGGCAGCTTGCTGGACATTTGCGCTGGTTAAAAATAATAATAAAAAAGAAATAAATAAATAAAGACAAAGAGAGGAAAAAGAAAATCCCACCACGAGCGCAGCTACGAACAGATGCATTCAGCATCGGAGTATTATTCAGGAGGAATGAATGCACTCAAGATGGTACAAAGGAACACGTGGCGCGTTAATTAAAACAATGCTGCACTCGGCACCCCATGCGATCACGCGCGTCACCTTTAGATGCACTAGGTGCGAAAAGGAGACAAGTTCGCACTGCATCTCCGTATAAGAGCGCAATGCCTATACAGTCGGAATCTGCGATCGCGCATTTTCGTCCTATGCACCACATTGCATAATTATGCGCGCGCTCGTAAAGGTCATCGCATAAACCCATGCTGGAAGAAATTGAGAATTCCACGAAGTCGCGACATAGGTGGTCCCCACGTGTAACGACTGACTAACTGAGACTGTCCAAGGAATAAAATCCCCATGGCGGTCCGCTAATAAAATCTTAGAATGGCTCATGTGCAGCCGTAGAAATTATGCGAAACTAACTGTAATTGATAGCTACCGCGGCCTAGCATTCCCCGACCTAACCCCAGCCCGAACCTAACCTCACCGAATCTGATATAACGTAAACCAAACCGAATAGTCATAAACGCAATGATATACGCTGTGCCTAGGCAAGCAGGCAGGCAGTCGACCGGGCCCGGCTTAGCAGTCTTCTATACCTATGCAACGGAGGAACTGCAGGAGCCAGAGTTATAATGCAGGAGAAAAAAAAGGAAGCGAGACGAAATAGGTAAAGGCGGACATTCAACCTGAGCAACGCGCGTGGAAGGCTTCTAGGAGGACGATATCACTATATGCAGGTCCGGTGTGGGCGCATCCGGTCCGGCGCGCAAGCTCAGAGAACCTCACGTTGCATTATGTATCCGCTTGTCAATGCTGTACCCTGTCACCGAGATGATAAGAATAGAATAATAGAATTTTCTATGAGGTACCCCGATGCTACGCATGCGCGGTGTCGGAGTCGTCGAGAAAAACGTCCAACCCTCTTCCGGTCGTCTTGCATCTCCATTTCTATTGGCTTAACCTCTTTCGTGACTGTTTTATATACAGGACAGACAGATCTACCTGGCGCCCTCCGGCATATCGGTGGACGAGTATGGAACTACGAAGGGTACCTACACGCCCAGCGATTTTGGACCCTAGATACGTAAACGTTGCTCATGCGCGAGGCGGTATAGACACTTTCTTTCCTCTCTCCCAATTTTAATCGTAATTTCCACGTAGCGCACGGACCCGAGCGTTCCAGGGTAGCAAATGATTTCGTGGAAATGTGAGCTGGCTGGTTAACGCTCGGTAAGCCCGCCAGGTGGCCAGGACGAAATAATTACTTGGTAACCCTGGAAGCGATAATTACTAACTCGTGCGTAGAGACGGGCATTTTCTCTGGTTACTCAATGCCAGCACGGTCGATTGGGAAAAATTTTTATTGAGATTCTCACCGATTGAACTTTTACTAGAGTCACTCGAACCAATCGGTCGTTTCAGTCTGAATTTGCATCTCGACGATTCCCGAGGTACAATTTTTAATAAATACATTTTTCAATGAATCACGTCGATTCCATTACTTCAATCTGTGGGATAACGCTTAATGACACATACAGTTAGTTGATCTCACGTTGGTAGACTCTACCAACGTTTGGCGCATGCGCAGTAAAAGTCAGCGATACTGTGTACCCACTGTCAGTTATCCGCTAGCTGTTAAGTGTTTCCGTAAAAGGTATCATTATTCGCAATTAAATGCGTGGATGTGCAACCGACTGATAGTACAGTCGAAGGAGAGAGTGAAAAAAAAAAGTAAAGTTACGGATCGAAAGAAAGAGGGAGAAATGACAAGGTGGAATTTCAGGGTCCCTTCTCCCCCTCTCCAACCCACTCGTAAGGAATGTTATCATTAACTGCTACGATCGTGACAAAAACAATGGCCGGCGCTCTCTCGAAATCGGCCTTTTTCTCTCGCGAGCCTCGGCACGTCCGGAACGCATGAGCGATTTTTGTCCGCGCGCTGCGACACGCACGCCTCACCTGATAATCGTACAAATCGCATTACGAGGAGTAATACTTTTTTTAAACTCGTCACCTCTTCCTATCGCTTCCATTTCGCCTCTAATCCCTCCTCGAGCTATGAAATATTTCTTCCTCCGGTATAAGTGCGCCACGAGAAGAATACTGGAAAAGACAGGCCATCAGCAGTAAGTAACGTACTTTGCATTTTAGACACAGACACGCAGGTTCTTTCGATAATTGTTGCATTAATTAGAATCAGACGGCGCTCGTACGCGCATCGGACGCATGTGAAAAATCGACCATTGTTCGACTGGTGTCTCTGAACTCGACTACCGTTCATGACAATTGAATACAGTGCGCAGGGAAAGTATTTAAAGCCTTGTCAGTAAGCCTCGGATACGTATAGGTTGGGCACAGTAAAATCGTCTGTAAAATAATAATAACTTCACAGTAGATTATCGTACGTACAGTTATCGTGAATGAATGGGACCTATTGTTACATCGTGTTTCTATGATAGCGCCCGTTACTAGGACGCGGCATGCGAGTACTAGGGCGACAAACTTTTGCAAAGACCTGTAGCTTGGCTCGTTGGAGTCCAACTACCTGTTATTAGCAGTTGCGCATGCAAAAGATAGAGAATAGACAACATTGTTTTCATGGCATAATTACTGCACAGTAATATTAATTATACTCGGCTACCTTACACGTCACTCGCCTGTTGCTGGATATCCGGAAAGAAATATTCACTGGATCCATGCAGTCTTGGGTTATTATTCATGTGCAAAATTATATCGTGGTATCGTTCGCTTTTCAATTTTATACCTGACTCGGTGCTTACTTCACTCTTGTGTATAATGCTCGTGTGCGCATGCGCACTCGGACTGGTCTTGATAAGCAATGGAATTCGTATGATGTTATCTACCCGTCGTACCCACGACAGTACGTACGTACTGCAGCTAGAGTCTCTTGTGAATCCTCCTTTATAAATTGCGACAGCAGAGGTCGGCGACTATTATCAGTAAAAGCGTTGAACGTGTTTTCTTAGGTTTTTCAAACGCTCCGTCGGAGTGCCGTGTGAATAATGGCGCGAAATACGCATGAATTATCTGTAGCACGTTGTCGGGCAGATACGGCTGACTAGCTTTCACTGTACGTATATAATGTGCATTAACAGTCGGTCGTTTTCACGAAGCACCGAGATCGTTTGGGTCCTGACAACGACCTAAGAATACAACCCTACTAGGTACAACTTCTGGCGCATTCATGGATCCGCATCAAGAGAACATCGAGCTGCCGTGCGTGATTGGCTATGATGATCTCCTGAGCTTGCACTTGCATTCGCACTTGCACCTGCATCCAGTTGGACCAGCCTCCACCCACGCAACGGACACTACCGTTCATCTTGACTCGCATAATTTATCAATTTTTTATTCGATCCGCAAAACCAGACTTTTCCGTCCTACGCCATCAGCGAAGGTATAACTACGGTGCTGCCGCCACGTG